CACCCCTGGGGGGACCCAAGGCAGTTTACAACATACTAATGACAAAAATTCAATGCCAACATAAAAGTACACAAATAAATCATAATAACTAATGACTACATATAACTATAAACTCAATGTATTCGTTGTACGCTGCCCTGAATCCCTTTGTGGATTGTATTACATTGTAATACAATATTATGATCCATATCATATGTATAAGCAATGTATTATAATTATTAGCATAGCACAATATTAGGATTCTATATATTACTATATTGTACTATGCCACTACAATGTAATATTAGCAATATTACATGTAATATAAAATATATAATTATTATATTGTATTTAATTAGTATAATTGTATTACATTATAACATTACCAATATTATATGTCTATACATTATATTAGTGCAGCACAGTATTACCATTATATATTACTATATTGTACTATTACTATACTGTAATATTATTAGTAATGTTGCACATAATATATAGGCTGAGCAAAGGAAGATAGATGCTTTTGAGCTGTGGTGTTGGAGGAAAGTTCTGAGAGTGCCTTAGACCGCCAGAAGATCCAACCAGTCCATCCTTCAGGAAATAAAGCCCGACTGCTCATTGGAGGGAAAGATATTAGAGACAAAGATGAAGTATTTTGGCCATATCATGAGAAGACAGGAAAGCTTAGCGAAGACAATTATGCTGGGGAAAATGGAAGGAAAAAGGAAGAGGGGCCAACCAAGGGCAAGATGGATGGGTGGCATCCTTGAAGGAGCTGGGGATGATGACGGCCAACAAGGAGCTCTGGCATGGGATGGTCCATGAGGTCACGAAGAGTCGGAAACGACTGAACGAATGATATAGTACATTCTGTACTATATCACTGTAGTGTTATTAGTTATATTACATGTAATATAAAATATATAATTATAATGTTGTATTATTATATTGTATTACATCATAATATTATAATTATTATATATATATACATGGCACAGGAGACCAATGTGAGCCACTTTGAGTCTCCTTATGGAGAGAAAAAGCAGGATATAATCAGTAAACATCATAATATATTGTAATATTATTAGTAAAATTACATGTAATATAAAATATAAAATTATAATACTGTATTATTAGTATTATATTGCATTACATTGTAATATTATAAATATTATATGAATATACAATATATTATATTAGCATGACAAAGGAGACCAATTTGAGCCGCTTTGAGTCTCCTCACGGAGAGAAAAATCAGCATATAATAAGTAATCATATTATATTGTAATATAAAATATATAATTATATTATAAATATTATATGACCATATATTATATTATATTATTAGCATGGCACAGGAGAGCAATGTGAGCCACTTTGAGTCTCCTTATGGAGAGAAAAAGCGGGATATAATAAGTAACCATCATAATATACTGTATTATTATTAGTAATATTACATGTAATATAAAATATATAATTATAATATTGTATTATTAGTAGTATTATATTGTATTACATTATAATATTATAAATATTGTATGAATATGCAATACATTATATTATCAGCATGGCACAGGAGATCAATGTGAGTCGCTTTAAGTCTCCATAAGGAGAGAAAAAGCGGGATATAATTAGAAAATATCATAATATATTGTAATATTATTAGTAATATTACATGTAATATAAAATATATAATTATAATATTGTATTATTATTAGTATTACTATATTTTATTACATTATAATACTATAAATATCATATAAATATACAATATATTATATTATTAGCATGGCACAGGAGACCAATGTGAGCTGCTTTGAGACTCTATGGAGAGAAAAAGCAGAATATAATAAGTAAACATCATAAAATATTGTATTATATTATAATTTTATAAATATTACATGAATATACAATATATGATATGATATTATTAGCACTGCACAGGAGACCAATGTGAGCCGGTTTGAGTCTCCTTATAGAGAGAAAAAGCGGGATATAATAAGTAATCATCATAATATATTGTAATATTAGTAATATTACATGTAATATAAAATTAATAATTACATTATTATAAATATTAACTAATATGTATTATATTTTTGGCATGGCACAAGAGACCAATGTGAGCCGCTTTGAGACTACTTATGGAGAGGAAAAGCGGGATATAATCAGTAAACATCACAATGTATTGTACTATTATTAGTAATATTACATGTACTATAAATATAGAATTATAATACTGTAATGTTATTAGCATTATATTGTATTACATTATAATACTATAAATATTATATGACTATACAATATATTATATTATTAGCATGACACAGGAGACCAATGTGAGCCGCTTTGAGTCTCCTTATGGGCAGAAAAAGCGGGAGATAATAAGTAAACATAATGATATATTGTAATCTTATTAGTAATATTACATGTAATATAAAATATATAACTATAATACTGTATTATTATTAGTATTATACTTTATTTAATTATAATAATTTTTTTATGAAAATACAATATATTATATTATTGGCATGGCACAGGAGACCAATGTGAGCCGCTTTGAGTCTCCTTATGGAGAGAAAAAGCGGGATATAATCAGTAAACATCATAATATATTGTAATATTATTAGTAATGTTACAAGTACTATAAATATATAAATATTATTCGTATTATATTGTATTACATTATAATATTATAAATATTTTATGAGAATACAATATATCATATCATATTATATTATATTATAAGCATGGCACAGGAGACCAATGTGAGCCGCTTTGAGACTCCTTACAGAGAGAAAAAGCAAGATATAATAATAAAATACAATACATTATATTATATTAATAGCATGGCAAAGGAGAGCATGTAATATTACAGGTAATATAAAATATATAATTATTTTATATTACAAATATTTCAAAGTATTTTATGAAAATACAATATATATTATATTGTGAGCATGGCACAGGAGACCAATGTGAGTGGCTTTGAGTCTCCTTATGGAGAGACAAATCAGGATATAATAAGTAAACATCATAATATATTGTAATATTATTAGTAATATTACGTGTAATATAAAATATATAATTACAATATTGTATTATTAGTAGGATTATATTGTATTACATTATATTATACAATAAAATACAATATATTACATTATTAGCATGGCACAGGAGACCATGTAATATTACATGTAATATAAAATATATAATTATAATACTGTATTACATTATAATAAAATATTTTATGAAAGTACAATATATTATATATTATTGGCATGGCACTGGAGACCAATGTGAGCCATTTTTCGTTTCCTTATGGAGAAAAAAAGCGGGATATAATAAGCAAACATAATAATATATTGTAATATAGTATTAGTAATATTACATGTAATATAATATATATATTTATAATATCGTATTATTAGTAGGCTTATATTGTATTACATTATATTATACAATGAAAATACAATATAATATATTACATTATTAGCATGGCACAGGAGAGCATGTAATATTACATGTAATATAAAATATATAATTATAATATTGTATTATTAGTAGTATTGTATTGTATTACATAATAACATCATAACTATTTTATGAAAATACAATATATTCTATTATATTATTAGCATGGCACAAGAGACCATGTACTAATACATGTAATATAAAATATATAATTATTTTATATTACAAATATTTCAAAGTATTTTATGAAAATACAATATATATTATATTATGAGCATGAGCATGGCACAGGAGACCAACGTGAGCCGCTTTGGAGAGAATACAGCGGGATATAATAAGCAAACAATGATATATTGTAATATTATTAGTAATGTTACATGTACTATAAATATATATAATAATAATATTGTATTTTTAGTACTATATTGTATTACATTATAATAATATAAATATTACATAAATATACAATGTATTATATTATTAGCATGGCACAGGAGACCAATGTGAGCCGCTTTGAGACTCCTTATGGAGAGAAAAATCAGGATATAATAAGTATACATCATAAAATATTGTATTATATTATAATTTTATAAATATTACATGAATATACAATATATGATATGATATTATTAGCATGGCACAGGAGACCAATGTGAGATGCTTTGAGACTCCTTATGGAGAGAAAAAGCGGGATATAATCAGTAAACATTATATAATGTAATATTATTAGTAATATTAATATTAATTAGTAATATTACTAATTATTATTAGTAATATTACATGTAATATAAAATATAATTACAATATTGCATTATATTAGTAGTACTATATTGTATTACATTCTAATATTATACATATTTTATGAAAATACAATATATTATATTATGAGCATGGCACAGGAGACCAACGTGAGCCGCTTTGGAGAGAATACAGCGGTATATAATAAGCAAACATAATGATATATTGTAATATTATTAGTAATGTTACACGTACTATAAATATATATAATAATAATATTGTATTGTCGAAGGCTTTCATGGCTGGAATCACTAGGTTCTTGTGGGGTTTTTTGGGCTATATGGCCATGTTCTAGAGGCATTTCTCCTGACGTTTCGCCTGCATCTATGGCAAGCATCCTCACTACCTCTGAGGATGCTTGCCATAGATGCAGGCGAAATGTCAGGAGAAATGCCTCTAGAAAATAATATTGTATTTTTAGTACTAGATTGTATTACATTATAATAATATAAAAATTATTTAATTATACAATATATTATATTATTAGCATGGCGCAGGAGACCAATGTGAGTCGCTTTGAGTCTCCTTTGGAGAGACAAATCAGGATATAATAAGCAAACATAATGATATATTGTAATATTACATGTAATATAAAATATATAATTATAATATAAATATTATATGAATTATATGAATATACAATATATTATATTATTAGCATGGCACTTTGAGTCTCTTTATGGGCAGAAAAAGCGGTATATAACAAGCAAACATGATAATAAGTAGTATGAAGTGAGACATACAAGGTGGGGAGGGAGAGGTAGAGGGAGGGCCACTCACGGTTGATAGGCTCCGCCCTCCTCCATCGCCCCGCCTCCAGGGAGTTACTCCGGCCACGCCCCCTCCAGCTCTGCGCATGCGCCCGCCTGCCTCCCTTGACGAGCTTCTTGAGGGCCCTCCACAGCCGCCATTGCCCCTCCTCCTCCTCAGCGTCGCCGTCCTCTTCTTCTTTCTCCTCAGCGGCCTCTTCCTTCGCTTCGCCGCCGCTTCCACGGGCCTCTTCCTCCTCCTGTCGGCGGGCGACGCGGTGCCAGAGCTCGGCGTCGATGGGCGGGAGGACGAGGCGCCTCCTCCCGGCGCCGCTGCCTCTCCTGACGCCGGCCACGAGCGGGTGGCTGCGCTCCCTCAGGTGGGTGACGGCCCGGCAGTAGGGGCACGTGACCTTCTCCCACCAGCCCTCGCGCGCCAGCTGGCACACGCACGCGCTGCAGATCACGTGCCGGCAGCGCGAGGGCTTCCACGAGCCGCGCCCGCCCCCCAGGCGACGGGGCGCGCGCCCGCAGCGGTCGAAAGGCAGGCAGCAGATGCCGCACACAAGCTCCTCCTCCTCCGCTTCCGAGGACACGCCCCCTCGTCTAGGCTCCTCCTCTTTCTCCTCTTCGGCCACGCCTCCAAGGCGACGCTCATTCTCATTGGCCACACCTCCTCCGCTAAGCTCCTCCTCCGAGGCCACGCCTCCTCGGCTATACTCTTCTTTCCACTCCGAGGCCACGCCTCCAAGGCCAGGCTCCTCCTCTTTCTCCTCCGAAGCCACGCCTCCGAGGCCAAGCTCCTCCTTTTTAAAGTCCTTGGCCACGCCTCCTCGGCTAAGCTCCTCCTCCGAGGCCACGCCTCCGAGGCTATATTCTTCCTTCCACTCCGAGGCCACGCCTCCCTGGCCAAGCTCCTCCTCTTTCTCCGAGGCCACGCCTCCTCGGCTATGCTCATTCTCATTGGCCACCCCTCCTCGGCTAAGCTCTTTCTTCGAGGCCACGCCTCCCTGGCCAGGCTCCTCCTCTTTCCAATCCGATGCCACGCCTCCTCGGCTACGCCCCTCCTCTTTCTCGGAGGCCACGCCTCCTCGCATACGCTCCTCTTTCTCCTTGGCCACGCCTCCTCGGCTACGCTCCTCTTGCTCCTCCTCCAGCGCCATCCTTGCCCCCGCCCGTCCGCGAGGCGAGACTTTACTGAGCGCCTCATGCTTGAGCCTTATTTATATATATGTTCCAATGGCCACGCCCATCTTCAGCATCTAGCCAATCGGGAGCTTTTGAGGGGAATGACACAACAGACCACGCCCCTCCCATGCTGAAGTAGAAGTGGGAGGGGAATAGTCCACGCCTATCTTCTACTTCTAGCCAATCGGGAGCTTTTGAGGGGAGTGAGACACCAGGCCACGCCCCCCTCACGCTGAAGTAGAAGCAAGTGGGAGGGGAGTTAGGCCACGCCTATCTTCTGCTTCTCGCCAATCGGGAGCTTTTGAGGGGAATGAGATAACAGGCCACGCCCCCCTCACGCTGAAGTAGAAGCAAGTGGGAGGGGAATAGGCCATGCCTATCTTCTGATTCTAGCCAATCAGGAGCTTTTGAGAGAATGAGACAACCGGTCACGCCTCCCTCAAGGGGGAATAGGAGTCAGTGGGAAGGGGAGTTAGGCCACGCCCATCTTCCGCATCTCGCCAGTCAAACGTGAAGGGATGAGACAACAGGCCACGCCCCTCTCGTGTTGAAGTAGAAGCCAGTGGAAGGGGGAATTAGGCCACGCCTATCTTGCGCATCTCGCCAATCAGGATCTTTTGAGGGAATGTGAACAGGCCAGGCCTCTCTCAAGCAGGTGCGCGAGGAGAAACCAGTGGAAGGGGTATTTAGGCCCCGCCCATTTTCTGCAGCTCACCAATCAGGAGCTTTTGAGGGAATGGGACAGCAGGCCACGCCCCCTCAAGCTAGGAGAAGGGAATAAGACTTGATGACGTCAGCTTTATCAACTTTAACAGTCTATTCATAGTTTCCAGCACTTCTTTGCAGGGTTGTTGCGAAAAACAAAACGGTGGCTCTTGGAGATATTTATTTCTCCCATTCTAGGAGAAAGGATGGGTGTAAATTAACTCAATGAATAACATAAATAAATATCTAGTAGCTTTGTATTCTGCATTTCTCCCCAATATGGGACCCAATCAGAGAATGTTTATTTATTAATAATGTGGTTTATTATTATTATTTGTTATTTACCTGTCCGAACGTATCCTCCCCTATGAGCCATCAAGATTACTAAGATCGTCTGGAGGGGCCCTGCTCTCGATCCCACCGGCCTCACAGGTGGCTGGTGGGGACAAGAGACAGGGCCTTCTCGGTGGTGGCCCCTCGACTCTGGAACTCCCTTCCACTGGAGATCAGAACTGCCCCTTCGATCTTAACGTTCAGGAAACAGGTGAAAACCTGGCTTTGGGGATTGGCATTCGACAAATGAGCCATGATCCTGTGATATGGATGGATGACGACGAATAATGACTTTGATGACGACTGACCACTGTAATCATATGATTGTATTTTTGCCATTTTAATTGTTTTAATGATTTAGTGTGATTTAGAAATATGATGTTTTCATGACGGTCTGTAATATTGATGTTGGAAATCGGCCCGAGTCCCTTGAATGGAGGTGAGAAGACCGGTATAAAAAACTACCAAATAAATAAATAAATATTATTATTATTATTATTAACTTTATTTGTACCCCACTAGCATCTCCCGAAGGACTCGATGCGGCTTACAAAGGCAAGACCTCAAAACACAACATAACAATACAACACCTAAAGGAAATTAAAAACAATTAATTATAATATATGTATTATAATATGTGTTATCATATATGTTATAATGTATTATAAAGTATATTAATATTAATTTTTTTACTAATACTACTAGTTTGCTTTTTTTCTCTTAAAAAGGTCAAAATTGCTATGATAAAAATATACAATTTAAAATTGAAAAAAATAATGTTTATTATTATTATTATTATTATTATTATTATTATTATTATATTTCTTGTTGTTGTTCATTCGTTCAGTCGTTTCCGACTCTTTGTGATTTCATGGACCAGCCCACGCCAGAGCTCCCTGTCGGTCGTCACCACCCCCAGCTCCTTCAAGGTCAATCTAGTCACTTCAATTATATTTCTACCTCTCTCTTTTTCTCCTAATGGTGTCTCAAAGCAGCTTAACACATCTCACCACGCTAAAACAGTGGATGTGGCTCTTAATGAGACATGCCGCATTATCACGGGGTGTCTGCGCCCTACACCACTGGAGAAATTACACTGCTTAGCCGGTATTGCACCACCTGACATCCGCCGGGAAGTAGCAGCCAATAGTGAAAGGACCAAGGCAGAGACATCTCCAGCTCATCCCCTGTTTGGGTATCAGCTAGCACGTCAACGACTTAAATCTAGAAATAGTTTTCTAAGATCTACAGAGACACTCGCTGGAACACCTCAGCAAGCGAGAGTCCAAAAGTGGCAGGCTCAAACCCAGAACCTCAACCAATGGCTGATGCCAAATGAGAGACACCCCCCTGGGCACACAGAAGACTGGGCGACTTGGAAGGCGCTGAACAGACTGCGCTCTGGCACCACGAGATGCAGAGCCAACCTTCAGAAATGGGGCTACAAAGTGGAATCCTCGACATGCGAGTGTGGAGAAGAACAAACCACTGACCACCTGCTGCAATGCAACCTGAGCCCTGCCACATGCACAATGGAGGACCTTCTTGCAGCAACACCAGAAGCACTCCAAGTGGCCAGATACTGGTCAAAGGACATTTAATCAACTACCAAACTCACACATTTTGTATTTTCTCTGTTTGTTTGCTTTGTTCTGTTAGAAATGTAATATAATTTGACTGGTTGTCCTGACACGACAAATAAATAAATAACATAAAAGCAATTGCATAATAATAATAATAATAATAATAATAATAATAATAATAATAATATATTTCTACCCCGCCTTTCTCAAACCCGAAGGTGACTCAAGGTGGCTTAAATCAGGCAGCAATCTGAACAGATACACAATGAACAGAATTAAAAATAAAACGTAAAACCAATGCCTTCATTGTCCACAAATCGTTGCCTGAACCATTCCAATGTTCCATTCCATTTAAAATATGCAAATATACAAACATTAAAACAAGATCAAATATATAAAGTACTCTAAAATTCCCAGTTAAAATAGTAAAAACATTAAAATGTTAAAACAGAATGAAATATAGGCATATTAAAAATAAACACTGTAGTTAACACCATTAAAATAGTTAAAAGTATATTAAGATGCATAAATACCCATCGGTACTTTCCGTCTCAGTCTTATAAATGTCCTTGAAAAGTGTTATTTTAAATTGCTGTCAATTTATTTCAAACTCAGTTTTAAATTAAAGTTAATGAGGTTTGGCACCACCTTAACCACCGCTTGATTCCAAAGTATTGAGCCATGGCACTTCAAGTGGACTCAAACTGGATCATTGGTACAGTATAGAGCAATGGTTCTCAACCTTCCTAATGCCGTGACCCCTTAATACAGTCCCTCATGTTGTGTGACCCCCAACCACAACATTACTTTCGCTACTTCATAACAGTCATTTTACTACTGTTATGAATCATAATGTAAATATCTGATATGCAGGATGCATTTTCATTCACTGGACCAAACTGGGCACGCTCTGGTCACATCCCGCCTTGACTACTGCAACGCTCTCTACGTGGGGCTGCCCCTAAAGACGGCCCGGAAACTTCAGCTAGTCCAGCGCGCGGCAGCCATGTTACTAACAGGAGCGGGACGCAGGGAGCATACAACGCCCTTGCTGTTCCAGCTCCACTGGCTGCCGATTTGCTACCGGGCCCAATTTAAGGTGCTGGTGCTATCCTACAAAGCCCTAAACGGTTCCGGCCCAAAATACCTTTCGGACCGCATCTTGGCCTATGAGCCCACGAGGACCTTGAGATCGTCTGGGGAGGCCCTTCTCTCGATCCCGCCTGCTTCACAGGCACGTCTGGCGGGGACGAGAGAAAGGGCCTTCTCGGTGGTGGCCCCCCGGCTGTGGAACGACCTCCCTGCTGACATCAGACAGGCGCCTTCCCTTCTGTCCTTCCGAAAGAGCCTGAAGACCTGGCTATTTGAGAAGGCATTCAACTGAGCGCTACGGCAACTGGTAATTGACAACTGGAACGGAATACGGATTACGATATTGGTTATGATTCTATGATGTGACGGAGCGGATTATTTAGTGTAACTAGATTATAGTGTATTATTGTTGTATTGATTCCCTGTTTTGCCCTTTTTGTAAACTGTTTTTATATGTTGTGCACCGCCGCGAGTCGCCCTAGGGCTGAGAGCGGCGGTCAATAAATGCAGTAAATAAATAAATAAATAAATAAATATAAATATGCCCAAATGTGAACACTGGTGGAGTTTGGGGAAAATAGAATCTTGAAATTTGGGAGTTGTAGTTGCTGGGATTTATAGTTCACTTATAATCAAAGAGCATTCTGAACTCCACCAGTGATGGATTTGAACCAAACTTGGCTCCCATGACCAATGGAAAACACTGGAAGGGTTTGATGGGCATTGACCTTGAGTTTGGGAGTTGTAGTTCACCTATATCCAGAGGGCACTGTGGACTCAAACAATAATGGTTTTGGACCAAAATTGGCACGAATACTCAATATGCCAAATGTGAATACTGGTGGAATTTGGGGAAAATAGACCTTGACATTTGGGAGTTGTAGTTACTGGGATTTATAGTTCACCTACAATCAAAGAGCATTCTGAACCACACCAATGATAGAATTGGGCACACAGAACTCCCATGAGGATTTATAGTTCATTACAATCAAAGAACATTCTGAACTCCACCAACGATAGAATTGGCTCAAACTTCCCACATGGAATCCCCATGACCATCAGAAAATACTGTGTTTTCTTATGGTCTTTGGCGACCCCTCTGACACCCCCTCGCGACCCCCTCAGGGGTCCCGACCCCCAGGTTGAGAAACACTGGTATAGATGCAGACTTGGATCTTCGTATAATATGAGATTGGAATAATCAAAACCCAGCACTTTGGAGGAACAATGCAAATTACGATTTAAATCAATCTGATTTCAGTAGAATTTACTGAAAAGATGAGTACAATGTATTGTCGAAGGCTTTCATGGCCGGAATCACTGGGTTG